ATTCTCGGTACCTCGGACAAAACTGATGGAAATCACTCCCTTGTAGACTGCATCTTGCAAAAAACAGATTCGAATGTCTATGTGTCTCAATCTTCTCAACAACCCTGACATCTCTGTGACATTTCGGGCTGCCATCGAATCCGTAAGCAAACCTGGAATGGGCAATTCCTCAGCTTGACATCCATAGACATGTGCCACGGCATGTTGAATACCTATAGTCTCTTTCGCTCCTTCGAACAAAGCATATAGCTCTGCCTCGGCTGAACTACAGGCTACACTCTGCTGCAACCTACTGAATGCTTTGACACAACAGTCACTAACGAAGATGGCTGCTCCTGAAGTACTCTTCCTATTGGTGGACTTTTCGGCTGCCCAACTGGCATCGACATAGGTCGTAATCCTTGGTGGTCCTGAGTACTCATAACTTCTGAACTTCAACTTTCGATCGGCTACTGATCGGATGTAACGGATACTCGCACGCATCGCAGTCTCATGTACAGCTAGCGGCTGAGATTGACCTCGGGCAAGCATCGAACACAACCAACAAAGATCAGGTCTCGACTGAGCTACCCAACCTAGCTTACCTAGTGCGGTTCGAAAGGTTGCTGCTGCCTCGGGTGACAACGGTTTCCGATCTTCTTCTCGATCACGATCATAAAGCTGAAACAAATTGGGGGTCGCTTGACTTTCCTTTCCTCCTGGATACAAGTTCATCATGCCTTCATAGTACTCTTTCTCCATGTACAAGGCAATCGTTCCATCTTCTTCCCTTTCGATCACCTTTCCCAGAAAACGAATTCTGTCTTCTTCAAGCTTTCCGGTGACTTTCAGTCTAAGCTTCTTCGACAACTCATCAACGAGCTTCTGAATATTTCGATCGTCTCCGACAACCAACAAGTCATCAACATACATCAGAACGATCAAGTGATTCTCCTCCTCCGTCTCTGCAACTCCTTTTCGATATCTTCCGGCGAAGATTGTCTTTTCCGTCACACATGCTGTCACACCTTCTTGATCTAACAAATCGGCTAGGTGACGATACCATGACATTCCTGCAGAACGAAGTCCGTTCATCGCTTTCTCAAGAATGACGAACAAAGGCTCTCCGTCTTCATTTTCCATCCCAGTCGGCAACGAAACAACTGCTGGGTGAATCACGGGGGCATGCAAGAATGCTGTACTTACATCTAAAACCCATGCTGTCTTTCCAACTCCTCCTTTCTTTGATTTCTTTCGAAAACTTGATTTCTGAGCAAGATAAGACAACGCAACCTTCAACGCCTCTGATGACGCTGTAGGGCTTGAAACGCCCAACTCGGCTGCTGACGGACCTGTGGCGAAATCACGGACAACAAGTCTCGATCGAACGATGTCTCCTTTGATAGCATCATGCTTGTTCACAACTACCCATCGGGTTGAGATGATTCGGATACCATGCATCTGGCAATACTCTTGCGCTTCATCTTTATTCACGACCTGACCTGTCCTGTGCTTCTCTAGGGCAATGACCTCTGTGCGCATTCCCTCGAACGTGGCATCCACATCTAATGGACCTTCACCTATGTCTGAAGTCGCTCTTGATGGCTTTCGGAGTACAATCCATCTACCTCCAAACCATACTTTGCACGAATCGGCCTTCGCGTCGAACTTGGACTCCTCGGTTTCCTTTGAAACCTTCCTGCTATACTCAAGTACCCCCTCTTGAACTGATGACAAGAACCTTTCAGCCTCATCATCCGAACATCTTGACAAGGGGTCTTTCACCTTTTCCCACAACTCTTTCCCTAGATCTGATAAGCTCGCAATGGCATTACCTTGATGATCATACATGTAGAGCTGCTTGGTTGGCAATTCGGTAAACCCTTTCCAATGACGCCTCAATGGCGCGGTCTGGGTTCCGAACTCGCTGACATGGACCTTGAACTGGTCCCTTGGAATCTCATCGACTGGCCTTTCATCAACAGCATCGACGTAGTACGTCCTCTGAATACCTACCAGCTGATCCTCAGGCGTCGGCAATGGCAGTGATGATGCTGCAAAAACACATTTTCGACTTCTGTGGTGAACTCTTCTCAACACAAGCTTGTCAAGGTCAACTTCCCAATGGTCATGATTTCTGTTCTTTCCTCTCCTTGGGATTTTCTGGAACAAATCAATGTCCATGGGACTCTCCCCGGGTGATTCGGGTGCTCTGTACCCTTCCGGTACTTCGGTTGGCTCATAGCCTTCACTCATCCGATCATCCTCGATAGGTTCCGGATTCTTTCCGATCTCATATGGATTCGTTGGATCCTCTTGCATTGGCGTCGGTTCGGTATCCGCTTCCTGTCCCTTTGGCGCATGGAACGGAACATCATCAAACTCTGGAAATCTCTCTCCAGTCTGATTCTGGAACTCTGTCTCCCGACTCTTGCTGAGATTCAGGCTTTCCTTCGGTATCCACACCTTCTTCCAATCCCTCAGGCACAACGGGCACAGACGACTCGTCTTCGATCGGTACTATCCGTTTGTACTCTTCTTCAAGATACTTCTTGTAACGGTTCCGACACTTCACTGAATGACCTGTTTCACTCCCGTTCGAACAAGCTGGACATCTCGAAGTCTTATTCACTTCACTCCAATACCAAGGTGGTTCCCCTTCATGGATGGGCAAATCAACCAATTTCTGGGGTTTCGAAAGATCATTCGGTAGTCTTTCAATCCTGTCTGGCTTCACTCCACTCTTGGAATTTGGAATTTCACACAACATCCCAAGTCCAGCGACAAAACGAATCGGTGAGGCAATCTTCAAGTCTCGAACAGGCACAACCACAGTCTCATCCTGTGAACCTTCGAAGGCAACGAAGTGACCTAACGAAGATAACTGTGGGGTCAAGTAAATGCCTGGAACAAAGTGACGAGCGTTTGCTTCTCTGACCTTTTCCAAGTACCCATCAGTCGGCCTGGCAAAAACCAAACGTCCAAATGGCATCACACGATTGGTGTTTGGGACTTCTCCTGAACTAGTTACACTGATGCGCATACGTCGATACGGTGTCAGTGAACTATTGGCTTGCAACTGAAATGCATTGTGGACATGGCAAGCGTTTGCTGCGGCATATCGAAGGCTTTCACTACCTAGCATCAACCCATGCTGGTACAACACTGCACGAATACATCCTAGTTGAGTCTTGAGGGTCCTAACTGCTCTCTCGGCTCCAGTTGCGTGTCTTCCTGGACGACTGGTCTCATGCCTTGATATGACCTTCAATCGAATGAGCTCCGAAATGAGCGCAGTCAAGTCACGGCCTTCATCACTGAGAACCATCGCACCTGTGGACGAACAGTGGTTGATGGCAGCTGTCAAAACACGAATCGTTGAAGCTTGATCTACATAGATTGCAGCTGTTGCTATCATTCCGTGCGTTCGGTTCCACATCACAACATACCTATACATATTTGGAGACTTTGGATGGGTGCATAGGTTGGCAATATCCATCTGGATCTCGTTGGTGACTTATCTGTGCGTTTTGGCGCTCGTTTCAATCCCTTGCTCATGAGACAGACTGCACAGCTTGGATCATAAGGTGTGTGACTCTGCAAAATGTGCTTAGCTAGTCTGTTACCTCGTAGCTCGATGGGATATTCGAACTCGACCTCAGGCTCTGACTCAACGGTGCAAACGACTTCCTTTTTGCGCACGGCGTCGAATGCTGGATTCGAAAAATGCGCTCTGGCTCTTATCGGCGGCTCAACTCCCCTTTTGGGAGGAACCTGGACGCTTCGGACAGCGCGTCCTACTTCGCGTCTTCCCTCTTGTCCGAAAACTTGGACAGATGCTCCTGCAGCTGCTTGCAGTACGCAATCTCTTCTTCGGACAATGGCGCTTGAAGCGCTTCGGGCGGCGTAGAAGGGACCGTCTGTGTATCAAGGATTTTTTCCCAGACATCAAGGACTTTTTTAAATGTGAATATGATATGATTTCTTTAGCTGTCACACCCTAGCTTAGATTCCTAGATGTTGCATATTGTCTTTGGCTGCCAGCTTGCTCTGTTGAAGAAGTTGCTGGCGTTTTTGGCCACATATGTTGTGTTCTTCTGTCTGATAGTGTGTGCATGTGTATTCCTGAACAATTGCACCCTTCGATCTTATTTTGGATTTGTTTTTCTACGCGCATGTGTAGTCCTTACCAAAGTACTTAAAATAGTAGACTCCAGGAATATCTCCAGTAATTAACTTTACGGGGTTGCCATGAAGGACCACAAACTTAGGTAGCCTAGTACCAGGCGCTGTGCAAGTGCCTCGATCATAAGAAATAATAGAAGCGTAGAAGAGTTTCAAGCCATGTGCACATACCTTGATTATAAGAACCCGCAAACTTAAGAGAATAGGTACAGGTGCACAGTTACTTGCAATTTGCAATGATAACTGTTTGTATTCAGATCATGTTAACTTATCTGGTCTGATCTCTGTATCCAAATCCCTCGGACTTTGCAGCAGTCTTTGGCTCGCTGCTTGTCTGTCAAAACTACTTCCATGTCGCTGAGGCAGGTCAACCCACCAAAAGAAAAAACTACTTGTTTTGTAGGGCTGCTCGGCGCCTGTGCTAGGCCTCAGAGATGGCGGCGCGGGTGGTATCTTTGACGCAGAGGCCGGGCAGCAGAATTTGACATCATCCTTCAGTCAGAAGCACGCCAACAGAATATAATCTGCTTGAATAATAAGATGAATCTAGGTTAACGTTAATAATAAGATGAATCTAGGTTAATGTTAAATAGAAGCGCTGCAAAAGTGCTCGCCTCGAAATGTTAGTTTGATAGTAAATTTGCTTGGCCAGCGCTGCGCAAGTGCTGACGCCCATTAAATTGCGCATTATGATTGGGTATCTTTTGCAACCGCGTGTGCTCCAGGACAAACTGCCGACACAGGTTGAGTAAGAAACGGTCTGGCAAAGTTAGGGTACAACGTGCAGAATTACAACTGTTTTTATTTAAAACCCATCAGACCTTTGCTTGAAAGCAATGCCGGTTCCTTTGCCAGATGCAGATTCCATACCCTCAAGTGGGGAAGAATGCTCGCCAGAACTCCCAGATGTGGATGAGCCCCAAGAAGATCCTGAATTACCTGACGGTGTTTGCTGCAAAATGGGTTGCTTAGAAGCAATCCAGGAATCACCTCAAGCCTCCAAAGGCATCAAAGAACTTCAGATGCTTTTTGACACGACAGACTCTCAAGCTGAGCTAGATCAATTGAAGTATGATTGCTTGCGGCACTGGCAAAGTGCAGAGCATGGATGGAGGCGTTTCTGCATCTTTGGTCTGCCATGCTGCGTCCGCGCAGTGCAAGATCTCCTCAAGGTCTCCAGGAATGTTCAAGTGAAGTGGTGCAAGCACCTCCAAGAGGGGAATCGTTTACCGCCAGCTGACCAGCGCAATACCAAGACCAATACAAAATTGTCGCCACAAGTTGCTGCGGCGCATGCGCTTTTGGCCTGGCTGTGGAACAACGTTGCCGAGGTTTTGGTCGAGTCTTCTGACTACAAGGGGGCCATGGATGTGAAGCACTATGATGTCAAAAAGGCAGAGGCCAAACTGCCCAAGTTGGACAAGTCGCTGCTCCAGCCCACACATGGCACGTCCGGATTTTTAGATCCGCCTGCTGGTGTTCAAGGCGTTCGGTGGTTAAGCCCAGAGACAACCCTGGTGGAGATGTACGACACTTGCGTTGCCTTCAATGACGAGCTAGATGATACTCCTGGATACAAAACTTTTTCCAGAGTATACCACTCTACCTGGCAGCATGTGTTAAAGGTGCGGCCAGAAGGAACACACTCGTTGCCTGGATTCAATCAAAATGTTGTGTGTGAGTTGTTTTTCATTCATAGATTTTTGAGCGATGAAAGTCATGAATTTAGAAAATCATCGCAGCGCATCGTGTGACCAGGAAGTGCGCTGAGTGCAGCAAGCTGAAGGAATTCAGGAAGCTTGCCACTAGCCCTCAAGATGTTGAGCGCGTCAACCAGGCCTATGCCCAGCATCTACGAAGCATGTTCCAGGATCGTGTTGCAGATGCCACCCTCTGCAAGAAAGCGCAGGAGACAGCCAGGGGCGAGATCAACTCAAAGGAGATTCTTGGCAGTGCAGAGTTTTAAACCAGATTTTGGCCTGTACCATATGTAGCTTTGAATTAGGCGCTGCACCTGCCTGCGTTGAATTACCCACGTGTGCATTGTATACCTGGCCATTGTTACTGAGGGGCCTTCTCAATATCTTCCTGGATGCCATGGACTTGAGCAAATTCAAAGTCCCTCGCTTGTTGTCTGCCAGCAAGCAGTTCCAAGCATGCTGGCGGCCTGAACTACACTTCCAATGCGCCCTGGTCGAGGGGATCGTTGAAGCGTATTGGATATCTGATGTTGACATCAGCAAAAACAGTGACCTTCAAAACACGATCCTTTATGCAACCTTGGAGCTTGCTGCATCCCACTTCAAATCCAAAGGGCTTCAAATGCCAGATCGGCTAAGAGTTCATACAGACAATGCTACTTCTGAAGGGAAGAACCAGTGGATTATGAAAGCCCTCAGCACGATGGTGTCCCGTGACATTGTGGCCCCCGGGCTCATGACGATGTTCAGGGTGGGACACACCCACTTCAAGGTGGATCAGAGGTTCAGCGAAATCCGAACCCTACTGGCATCAGCCGATGAACTGCAAACGCCGCAAGCCTATCAGGACTTCCTGCTCAAGAACCTCAAACCTCGCGAAGGCCGCGCGCTGCATGTCGACATCCTGTCGGCTGCTAGGGATTTCAAATCGTGGCTGGAGCCCATACCGATCAACGTGGCTTGATAGTACTCAGAAAGCATTTGACTGGCACTGGTTGGTTGTATTTGACTTGATAGGTAATAGTAATATGCCCAACGTGCTTAAACTTTTGCGCCACAAGTATTCTGGTACTGAGGTCACTGGCCATACCCAAACGAAGAACAAGAGCGAGCAAAACCAAGAGGCAATCCATTCCTTGAAGAGAGGCGAGTTTGCAACCAGAGACTGGCTCGCATTTAAGCAGTGCGTTTTCCCGCTTGGGTTATTTTGCTACATTTTGTTGTCGCAAGCTTGTCTTGAAGCTTGCAAGCCTGCGACTAGCACTTTTAAGGTGTCCGGGCTGAGTCCTGGGAAGTCGATCCTTTGCCGAAGCAAGCCCGAGAGCCTGCCAGTGAACACGACATCATTCTCTGCTGCCAACATTACTTATCATCAGCAGATCTCTGCCAGGCTCCAATGACCTTTGCCCAGAGCTACATGTTCGACGCACTGCAGCCAGAACCTGAGAGCCTTGTCCCGCGAGTTCCTTTCTCAGCGCGACAAAAAAAGGAGTTTGGTAAAACAGCGCAAATCATCGGCCTGCCTCCATGGCTCCTGCATGATGCCACCGGCTACCTGCTAAAGCTGCTTCAAGACAATGAAGATGGCCATGACTCGTCTTGGAAGCCTCCAAAGATGTCGCGGGGCTTTTATGGTGCGCCGCATGTGGAAGGCCCAGCAGTTGCAACCAGCTCCATTCCTAGCGCAGCTCTGCAATTTGCCAACCGAGACCCAGCTCGTGTGCGGGTCAAGATGATGGCCAAAAAAACGCTCAAGGCCCCAGCAGATTTTGCCAGAGGCGCTGTTGCTGAGACAGGCCCTCCTTTACCTGGCAGTGGTGACGAAGAGCCAGGCTTGCCGGATGCCAGCGACAACATGGCAGAAACCCCTGATCTACCTGATGCGCCATCTGTTGCTACTGAGGAGCTTGCAGCTGAAGGATCTGAGCTTGAATTGCCGGATGAACCGTCCAGGCCCCCACCGAGAGTGAACCCTGGAGCTGGAGCGCCTTCTTGTGTGCGAGGCCGCAACGGAGCTCCAGCCGGAGTCTACAATTCTGAAGCTCATGAACCTGAAGCGCCAGTGATGAGAAGGCCCGCTGCCCTGAAGAGGCCAGCGGCTGCCCCAAAACCGGCCGGTCAAAAAAAAGGCCTACAGACGTCTTTCCCAGTTGCCTTTCCCGGAAGGAGCTTTGGATGCGCTGCAGCAAATCAAAGAAGCTGGTCACAACAAGCGCCGCACCAGCGCTTATGGGTGCAACGAGTGTCGCCGCAAGGCTGGCTTGAAGCTCAATGACGATGAATCGGCTTGGATTTGGGATCCCTCACGACCGCGGTGGGGATCCTAGAAAAGCATTTGGCTTTGACCATTTTGGACCAAAATTTTGGAAAGCGCTCTCACTGACCCTTGGTGATTTTGGCCAGAAAAACATTGCTGATCTTAGCAAGCTTCAGAGTCGTTAGAATGCTTAGCCACCTTCAAAGCTGGAAATTTATGCCTGAATTTGTCAGTGTCAGGCAGCTAGCCTGGTGGAAGTCAGGGCCCTCAGCATGCTTCCCAGATCCTTTTTGCCAATCAGCTCAATCTTTCCTTTGGATCTGCTGCCTTCTACAGTGATCAGATTGAACTAACCGTGCAACCCTGACTGCAGCCTCAATCGTATGCCCCTTCCTATCTGCCATTGGATTTCAACAGAACGATTGAAGCTGGGTGACACGGTGCTGTTAAACCTGGAGGTTTGGAACACCCCGCGCCCCAAGGCTTTGCCTTCATTATGGGCCCTCAGTAGGCGGCTGCAAAAATGCGCTGTCCAGGGCCTAGGCCTCAGGTCATAATGTTCTGGCCTTTCTCATGGGGTCGCATAAAACTATACCAGATTTGCTAAATCATGCTAATACAGAAGCGCTGCACAAGTGCTTCAGTTTAGAAATAGGACAATCTCGATGATTAAAAATTAGAACGCATGGGCCAAGGAAAACAGAACAGAACTGGGGGACAATTTAACAGCACCAAGTATTCCACCACAAACTAATAAGTATGACGGTTAGAATTGTATCTCCAATTTTTACTTTCCTGCGACCTTCCTCTCCCAAGACATTGCCTTCAGTGGTGGCTGCCAGAATGTGCTGCTCAGGGCCCGGGCCTCAAATCATAGTGTTTTGGTCCTTTCTTTTGAAAGAGTTAAATCTGTAAGACTGAGACTTGCTAAATTAGACTTGGTAATTTAAAAGCGCTGCGCAAGTGCTTCAACTTAGAAATAAAATTAAGACGGCCTCAATGATTGTAGCCTCCGGCCCGCTGCTTTATGGCCTTGCGGCGCATGTTCGCGCTTGTGTGGGAACCCGAAGGCAGATGTTATAGATCTGACTGACACTACTGATCTCGAGCCTCAACATTTAGATGTGTGGACATAAGGGGACATGAGGGGCATCTTGGAGCCATCTCGTCATTGCAAAAACAACCAAGACGACTCTTAAGGGTCTTTTTCTCCTTCAGTAGCTGATTGCACTTCGCAAAGGAAGACAGAAAACAAATGCTTAATAGCAGCCAATATTCCACAACAAGCGCGCAAATATGGTTAGAATTGTATTTCCATGCAGCTTCGTTTCTTTTGACCTTCCTCTGCCCGAGGCTTTGCCCTCATTGGTGGTTCTATGAACTTGCTGCCCATGGCCTGGGCCTCAAGTCATAGTGTCTTCTGTGTCTTGCGCCTTTCTTATTCAATCATAGATTTAATCTGATTCGCGTTGAAATAATCACGGTAATATAAAAGCGCTGCGCAAGTGCTTCAACCCAGAAATATGTAAGACGGCTTCCTTGAAAGTTCTGGCCCAAGCTGCAGTGACGTGATCTTCAACTTGGCCTGTCATCATTATGGCCTTGCAGCGCCTGGGCGCGTTTGTGTGGGAACCTGAAGGTTCAGATGTTATAGATCTGACTGACGCTACTGATGTGGAGCCTCAAGACTTAGATGTGGACATGAAGGACGTCTTGGAGCCGCATCTTCCCATTGCCATTGTCATCGATCAAGATGACGGTGGCCAAGATTTCGCTGAGCTTTTTTCTCCGCCGAGGGTGTCTGTTCCATGCCGCCAACTGGGACTCAAAGCTGACATCTCCATTGACCTGGACACGGGCTTCAACCTGGACAATTTTGACTCCAGGAAACAAGTTCGTGATCTACTGGCCAATGTCAAGTTCATCATGATGTCACCGCCCTGCACTATGTTCAGCCGGATGCAGGTCTGCTTCCGGAACTTCGAGAAGCTTTCCCCTGAAGAGCTTGAGAAAGATGGACCTCTGCAAATGCCTATGTGGACTGCAGCATGGACTATGCCAAAAGGCAAGTCCGCAAAGGCCAGTGGTTTGCCTATGAGCATCCCAAGTCTGCCTCAAGCTGGCAAAGGGATTCGGTAAAGGAAGTGGCTGGCATGGATGGCATTGTGAAAGTTGATTTCGACCAATGCTGCCTGGGCCTTGCGTCTCCGGTCGAGGGTCGGCCGATCAAAAAGCCGACCACTATAATGACCAATTCAGCAACCTTGGCTGCGTTGTTCAGTCCCCTCAAGTGCAGTTGCAGTGTGGCTCACCGCCACATTGAGGGGTCTGAGGGAGGGATTTCCCTTTCGAAGCACTGCCAGAAGTATCCCTGGCGCATGGCTTGCCTGTTGGCTGATGGTGTGGCTCAGACCTTGAGCAGGCCTTGAGTGCATACAATTCAAAGGCTGTCACAGCCTTTGGCGAAATTAGAAATTTGAGAGAATAGAATATTGAGTATTCTCCAAGGCTGGGAAAAGGAGCATGGAGTTGCAAGATCTTCGCATACAAATTTTTGTAGGCGATGATCTTCACAAACCACTCAAACAGCCCAAAGATCGGCGCGTTTCTACCGAAATGAGAAGATCTTCGCATACAAATTTTTGTAGGCGATGATCGTCACCTTTTGGAAATTTTGATTTGGAAATTTGGGTTTTGAACTTTTGTTTTTTGGATTTTGGATTTTTTGGTCGGTATTATCTTGACCTGAGGTCAACTCTCTGCAACGTTGGCATCTAGGTCTGGGGCCTTGGAACTCAACTAAGGTTGGAATGAAAGACATTTTTGCTTTACCTGAAAGATGGTGGCTTCTCTGTCAATTTGTTGTTTCTACTGCCGCAGCATCCTTGGCTGAGTTGTATGTACCTGTGCTGAGTGCTGTGGCTCACCACCACATAGTGGCGGGATGGACATCAAGCCAGAGACAGATGCCAAAATGGAGGCCATGGCTCCTGTTGAAACTGAGACTGGTGCTCTGCGGCCACCTCCTGTCGCTGTGTCCTCGGTGGGCGTCAGCCCCGAGAACTTTGCCAGGGTTTGTCAGGAACACGTTGACAAATTGCTTGCCGAGTTTGGAGGGCCCACGCAATACCTGCAAGCAAGGTATGCCGGCCCGGAAGAAGTGAAGGGCTTTGCAGATCAACTTGATTTGGAGTTTCCACCGGACCCGGCTATTGCATATCATGCGGGCCCGCTTCCAACTGATCCAGACCGGCTGGTACCCTTGCGACTGAAAGATCTGGGTTTTGGGAGCCGCTGCTCGAGCAAACCTTTGCCGTTCAGGTTGACGGCCAAGCAGCTCATCGACGAGTACTTGACCAATAACTTTATCAGTCGCAGTGACTGGACTGCAAGGCTTTTGACGCAGCCAAACGAAGCTAAAGCGGCGCTGCACAAGTGCCGCATCGTATTTAATAGATCTTAGTATTAGATGATCAATACAAAACATGTTCATACGTTCTCTGTGTTTATTGTAGATTGTATAATGAGGTGGCACTGGTGCTGAAAAAGTACCGCTGAGCACATAAAAACAAAAGAGTTTCATAATTTCCAAATACCTAGATGTGCGCAATTGTACAAGGTGACCCCATCCTGCTGGTGGAGCGCCCTGATGCCTTTGACTACTTTTGGACGAACTATGTCAAGGGCGCAGCCCGTTCTGCGACCTTGCTGATGTTGGCTTCTGTGGTGATGGAGCAGAGCTGGGATTTGTCCATCCTGAATCCTGCTCTTCAAGCGTCCATGGTGACAATTTTTGCCAGGCAGGAGCTGATGATTGCTGATTCGGAAGCGGTTGCGTTTGCCAACCCCCGCTTGAGTGCACGTGGCTCCATCCGCCGTGCTCATTGCACTTTGACCTGGCTAGGTGTCTTCCAGGCGCTGCAAAAGAGTGGGCTCTCGGCTCCAGAGGTTTTGAAGAGGTGGAACCAACAAGCCACTTCAGCATCTCAGGTGACTGGGATGAGAAGGGTGGCTCTGCTCAACTTGCTTGGCATGAGCGCAGAAATCGTTGACGCCCTGCTTGCCCATTTGAGCGCTCATGCTGGGTCCACTGCCTTCCAGGAGGATGCCTTTGCTAACAAAAGGCTTGTCATTGGAGCTGCCCCGAGAACCAGCTCAAAGGAGTGGAACCAACGCTTGTGTGTCACCTCGGAAGGCATGCTTATGATGATCCGGTTCATCAGCCACGCCCATGAGCGGAAGTTGCCTGGCGCACGCTGCAAATACGACAAGCCTTCCTTGGAAGAGGCCCTGAACATGTCACAGCTCTTGGTGAGCGCCTTGACAGAAGCCGCCCAGCAGTATCCCATTCACCAGGATGCTGCAAGCCAAGTGGTCCAAAGCTTCTTGGATGGCCTTGGAACTGGAGCTTCAGTCAGCATTGGCGGAAAGGTCTTCCAAGTGGACATGTTCAGACTTGCCCACCATTAAGAAGCTGATTTCAGAGCATGTGTCGGAGTCCCACGCGCACTTGCAAAAGCTTGGCAAGAACACGGCGGTGGAAGCTGCAGCCCTGGAAAGACAAGAGTTTGACTTGGTGATGCAAACTTTGGACCATGATCTTGATGTGTGGAAGGCGCACTTGACCCGAAGCAAGGATAGACAAGCCGCCGTGCATTTTCAACTCATGCAGCACCGGCAGAAGCGTCTTTCGGCCTCCAAGGAGCTGGCTGACGAGCAAATCGACCAAGTGACCGCCCTTATGCCTTTGGACACCGCTCAGGAGACCTTCAAGCTTGTGGAAACCAAGGTGAAGCAGATCTGCCAAGTTCAACAACTCAGCGATCCCAATCAGATCCAAACACTGGTGGTGCTGAATTGGGCGGCTCCATGCTTGTTCACGGCTGAGCATCAGAGGCTGCACTCTCAATTGGCTGGAGCCTTTGTCAACCACCCGGGACGCGAAGCTTTGGGAGCTTTGATTTCCCCTGTCTATTGCCGGACACGGGGGACAGCCCACAAGCAGGAGAAGATCTGCCATGATGCGCTGTCTCAAAGCAATTGCAATCTGGATGATCAATTTGTCCTGCCATTCAAGGGGAAGAATGATGAGAGGGAAAAAAGGACTGGTTTTCAACAACTTAGCAAACAATATGTTGGTCCAAACTTTCCAAATGTTCTGATTCAGGGCCGGGATATACCATTTTTATTGCAATTAAAATGTTGTGGAAAAGAATAAACAAGTCTTTTCATATAAAGGATCGGATTCACCCTTCTTCCAGGAATTTGATCCTGCCTGGCCTCTTGCTTTTGCCTGGAGATTGTGACGCTGGCAAGGCCACCTATCTGCGCTGGAGGAAATCGCCTGTCTTCGCACGCGGCCTGCTCGAGGAAAGTGAGCTGGTCCACGCGAAGGACATGCTGATTGTGGAAGATCTTTCTGATGTGGCCCTGCCACACACCACCGAGATTGGGCCTGCAGGTGGCAGGTCTTTGCTGAAGGCTTTTTTTGGCGGTGGCCAAAATGATGGAGATCGTAAGGCCCTCCTGGTCATTGATCTCACCCCTCACACTGGGGATCTGCTTCGGGCTTTCTTGTCGGAGCATTGCGCCCAAGCCTTCCCTGCACCGGCCTACTACTATGGTCTGACCGTGGACGAGAGTCACGCTGATTGGCTGCGTGCTCTTGCTTCTGGCTTTTTGTCGGAGGGCTTCCTCAAAGTTGAAGGCTCAACGGATCTGCCCTTGCCTCCTGGAACCGCCTTGCCACCTGCTGAGATGCCAGCTGAATTGATGCAGGCATCTCCTGAGCCTCCAAATTTGAATTCCCGGGTCATCACAGACAAAATCAAGGTGGATGGATTGGCCACTGCCAAGGTCCCTGACAAGTTATTGGAGAGCTGGCATGACCATCAGCGGTTTGGGTCTGAATTCCGATCGTGGTTGGAAAAGGCCCGTGTGTCTGAGAACTTGATCGATGTCCCCCCAGAAAAGGCCGATGCCAAAGGTGCCAATGATAAGAAACGTACCATTGGAGGCCAAGGTGGAGGATCGACCAAAGCTGTCAAGGTAGAGGCCCCTTCCATCCAGATTGATGCGGCCAACAGCCCTGCTTGGAGCCCCAGTTTCATCGCTGCGGAGGAGCTTCCATCCCCACTTCATCATGAAGCAACGCTTCCTGGACAAGGCCGCGGACGCCCTGGTGCTATGGTGTGCATTGTGATCGGTGAGAGGATTTTCCTCACAATCGCACCACCGTGGACCAAGTGATTCCGCCTGGCACATGCTTGGCTGGTTTCTTCAAGGGTTGCTGGTGGCATGATGGTGGCGATGCTACCCGAACTACGAAAAAAAGCAAAACTCCAGGAACTCACAAGGAGGTGGATGAAAGAAAGGACATTCTTTTCACCTTGGAATCCTCCAATGATTTGATTCAGGTTGGACCTGGCTTGGTGACCCTGGGCCAATCAGTGGCTGAGAAGCAGTCGTCCATGCCCTCTGTCAAGGTGGCTTACCACACCATCAAAGAGAGTCCGACCGCTGCGAACCCTGCTTTCTTCAAGCTCACTCGAAACCATGACATGTACTTCCAGGTTGGCGACATCAAGATTGAAGATCTTTGTATGCAGTTTTCTTTTTTTTTTCGGGGGGGTCGATATTTAGAAGTAGTTTTTTCAACTTCAAGTGCTGCAGTGGGCTTTGTCGAAGAAACAAATTCCGGGCAGTCGAGGAAAAAAATGGTGAGAAACAGAAAGTCCTACCGCTGCACCACTTGGCTGGATTGGTGCCTTGGCATGTGTGGGAAGGCCCGGCAAGCCACATCGTCTGGAATGTGAAATGGAGCGCGACCAAAGGGCTTTTGCCGGTGCGCCCCGTGGTGCTGAGCAAGTGTGAAATCAAGCTTCCTGCTGGGAAGGCGGTCGAGATCAGTGGTAACGCCAAGGGGAATTCTGAGGCGGCTGCATGAGATCAGCAGCTTGCAGAAGAAATCTGGGCGGCATGGTCACTGTGAGCAGTACACATGCCAATCTTTTGGAACATTGGCTGACGCCAGTGATCACGCGGAAGGGAAACATGATTGCAGCGCAGCCTGCTCCATGTAACTTTTGTTATTTAAGACAGCGCTGAATAAGTGCTGGAGCATAATCGCCTTGTCGCACTGCTTCTCACTGTTTCAGTTTCATTGGTACATTGGCTGCCTCTATTTGTCATCCGAGGCTGGGGACCTCGCTCTTCCGACCTTGGCTTCGTGACTTCGACTCAGTCAGGCTCCCAGAACAGCACTACTGCTTCAGTTGAATGTCAATCAAGTGTTCTTCAACCTCGTGCATATTGCGTTGACATTTGAGACAGTCGCTAATAATTAAGTATATAGCCTGGCGCTGAAAAAGTGCCGACATAGATAGAGGCTTAATAGATTAATTTGATGCGGACAGCTGACGCGGACAGTTGGCTCAAATGCCGGGCTCATTGCCGGTCCCAAGCAACGCGCCACAGGCGCTGGGACCTGATGATGGAAGAAGAAGCGCGCCGCCAACGCAAATGAAGACAGCTCCAGCTCCATCGCCAGAAAACCCGGACCAACCGTGCAAAAAGGCTAGGTCATCAGTGCCAGAACCTGTATGTCCCCCATCATGGTGCCGGAACCAGCAGCCACTTGAGGAGCCTACGGCAGCCGCTGCGCCAGCCGCTGAGCTTCGCCCGCCGGCGGCGGCCAAGGCGCAAGCTGCCCCTTTGACGCCAGCTGGCTTCAAAGTTGTCCCGGCTCGCTTTGAAGTCAGGGTGAGAGCACCAGAGCCTGGCCCGCCTGCTCCAAAAAGCGACTACAAGGGTGGCCACAAACAATCGCCAAGCCAGGAAGTGCGCGCGAAGATGCAGAAGTTGCAGTCAGAGTGCAACTCCAAGATGGAGGTCATGAAGGTGGAGTGCGCCAAGAAGATAGAGTTGGTGACGCAACAAGCTGCCGCCGATAGAGAGTTGGTGACGCAACAAGCTGCCGCCGATGTCAAGGCAGCAAAAGAAGGGAAAAACAAAGTTGTCATCGTCGCTCGGGAGCGACTTGAAGCTGCAGACCGGGTAAAGAGGCTGGTGACTGAACGCGCGCAGGCGCAAGTTGACCTCGCCAAAAAGGAGATTGCCGAGCTGCAGGAACAGTCGGTCAGGGACCAGGCATCCATCAAGCAGCTGATGCAGGACAAGGAGAGACTCGAACTGCAGGCGCAGTCCTATGCTACTTCATATTCCGAGCTGCATCGCAAGCTGGCGCGGGACTGGCAGTTAATTCTGCCCAATTGTGCCCTAAGTCACCGAAATTAGTAAATTTACATTTTTATTGGATTTACGTAAATTGATGAATTTAGGTGGCAAAAAGTGTAAATGGGTTAGTAAATGTAAATTTGATTTAGGTACAACCTAAATTTATTTAGGTTGGTCTTCACTAAGGGTTTTCCTATTTTTCATTACTTTTTGATTTGCAAATATTCAATCTAAAACGCATCTTTTGAAGAAAGTAATTTGTAAAACATATAGCCACAAGTAGAGACATTTGGATAAAACCACAAGCACACACACACACACTCAGGTATAAGCACACAGGAAAAACAAGCGCAAGAAAAATAACTTGGGTATAAGCACCATGAGCTTTCCATCCTTTGTCCTGTCCAGGACTTGGTTCACTATCTTGCGCTGTTCTTCTGTGCGTCCCTTCTTCATGCTCAAGGTCTTCTTCCAAGCCTGCGCAACATAGTCTGGCAGAGAGCCCTCAGACAACAAGGCCTTGAACTTGTTGTCCTTCGACCTGTCCTTCTTGGCCTCATCGCACTAGCACTAGAAGAAGTCTGCATTGTCCTGCTCCTCCTCCTCCTCCTCCTCCTCCACATTCTCTTGGTTGATCCTCTTCAACTTCTGGTGCTTCCTCCTCCTGATCCTCCTGCAACCCTGCTGCCCAGCCATGAGCTGCTGGCTTCTTCTTTGGCTGTACAGTTTCTCCACTGGCAGCAGGCCTTTTCAAAGAGCATGCCTTTGGCTTTGGCTTTGGCTTGCTCTTTCCTTTTGCTTTGGGCTTCTTCCCTTTAGGGCTCTTTGCTTTTGGGCTCTTGGATTTTGGGGTCTTTGCTTTGGCAGCTGGCCTTTGCTTCACAGGTGTACTGGGCTCTTCAACTACACCATCCATCGTCCTTCTCCTCAGGAGTGACTTGGCCCATGGGAATCTCTTCCTCTGCCATGCCAATGCCAACAAGCTACTGCACCTATCCTTCAAACCTTTCAAAGCTCTTTGAGATCAATCTAGCTGCAAAAGTAAACAACAACCAATAAGCCAGCTGTGCAGTAAACTCTCAACAACTTCAATTTGAACAACATACAATGCTGATCAACTCTGTGTGCAAAAGCATTACCTTCTCAGGTAAAGGATAAACCAACTTCAATTTGAATAACAAACAATGCTGATCAACTCTTTGTGCAAAAGCTTTACATTCTCAGGTAAAGGATAAACCAACTTCAAATTGAACAACATACAATGCTGATCAACTCTTTGTGCAAAAGCTTTACATTCTCAGGTAAAGGATAAACCCACAAGAATGCTAGATATCTTTTTGCTGACAATATGATGCAGAATATCATAGCTTTTCAAAAAACCTGTCAAAAAACTGTATGATTTTTTGATGCACTTTTGATGCACTTCTGATGTGCTTTTCAAAAGTGTATACACTTTTAACAAAAGTGTATACACTTTTGATCAAAAGTGTATACACTTTTGAAAAGTACATCAAAAGTACATCAGAAGTGCATCAAAAGTGCATCAAAAGTTCATCAAGAATTCATCAATATTTTCTCTTAAATTTATAGTTTTTGAACTAAATTTCATAAATACATATCAAATACACTTCAACTCACAACAAAACTAAACAAGACTAAGCGCACAATTCCAAGTTGAATGGCATCCTCATGTAAAGTATACTTACACAAAGTCTCAACCACTGAAGTAAAATACACTCAAGTAAAACCATCCTCAAGTAATGTCTGCCATGCTCAAGTAAAGTGTGCCATGCTCAAGTAAAGTCTGCCATGCTCAAGTAAAGTGTGCCATGCTCAAGTGAAATCACATCCTCAAGTAAAAGCTCAACAGGTAAAGTCACACCCTCATGTAAAAGCTTCTCAAGTAAAGTCAGATCTTCTTCATGTAACAGCTTCTCAACATCACGTCACAATGCGTGCCCTCAACTCTACCCCAAAGGCTGCTTGTGTCTTTTTCACTCCAAGGATTCCAGAGATGAACTGCTGTCATCTTGCAGCGTCCTCATCAAGTCCATCATGGCATTGATGCGGTCACGCCTCCTGACAATGGTTTCAAGCCAACATTGACATAACTCTTGTTCATTTGCTGCAGTTAATACAAACTTGAACAATTAATTTTCAACAAACAAACTTGTTTAAAGTTCAGTCCAAGAATCTTGTCAGCTTTGCGCAATTTCCTGGCCCTTTCACTGCTTGTTTCCTTCTTGCTGAGGTGTCTCTTGTTCTTCTTCTTTTTCTTCTTCTCACAGAGCCAAAAGATCTCTCACATAAAACATGCACCCTCACACTGGCAAAAACCATTAGAGAATCAGAGAATGCTCTTGTTCCTAAAGTGAAGAAAAGTACATATCCTCAAGTAAATTTACTCCCTCAAGTAGACACCCTCAAGTAAAAATGTTTTGTTCAAGTCAAGAAGGGTACACATGCTCAAGTAAATGCAATCCCTTCAAGTAAAGGCAAAGTCCACACCTCCTGGCATGCTCAGTCAACAAAAACAAAAATCCATAGCGCAAATATCCTCAAGTACATGTTGTCCTGTAGAAAACCTGCCTCTTTGGAGAAAGCCAACTCACATAAATAGAGACATTTTCTGCTTCAAAATCATGCTCACAAAAATTTACTCATAACCTAAAAAATTTACTAATAACCTAAATTGGATTTACTAATAACCTAAATTGGATTTACTCATAACCTAAATTGGATTTACTATTAAATTTACGTAAATTTTTACGTAAATTTTCCTTAGTAAAACCAAAAATTTACGTAAATTTTATGGTTAGTAAAATTACTAATTTGGGTGACTTAGGGTGATTTGCTCTTCATCCACATCACTTCTATAGTAAAAAAGTAAGTCTTGGAATCCTGGTTGAGTTTTCCGTTTGCTCCAGGAAAGAGAAGTGTCCCGCGCGTTGCAAGAGTTCATCGAGGCAAGTTGCCTTGATCAATTGGCCTTCACGTTTTGTTCAATTTTGATCACTGAGCCTCGCCTGCCAGAAGAGCCGAGCTGAAACCTGGCAGACCGCTGCGCAGGAGGGCTTGAGTCATTCACATCCAAACAAGCGACATGCGTCCATGGCTTTGCTGTCTGAATCTGGTGACAGCCAGGAACAACCTGGGCCAGTGGCTGGATCCTCAAGTCGAGGCCTCTTGAAATCCCTTTGTGCCCCATGAGTCAGAAGTGATCTCTTCCCTGCGGCAGGTTGATCTGGGGCCCGGTGAGGCGCGCTTTCAACTTTTCCGAGCGAATGAGAAAAGATCTTTTTGCGAGAGCTCATTCTCTTGAAGCCCAATGTTCCTTTCAGTCGGGTTTTCATTCATTCTCTGTCTGGGCTGAGGCTGGAACGTGACTAGCTTAACGTTTCACTTCGACTGCAACTGCAAAAGTGCGCTGCAACTGCTTTGCAATAACTCAAAGGCGCTGAATAAGTGCCTCAATAAAATGATTGTATGTGAGTAACCATGTACCTCCAAGGTTACTCCCATACAATCAACTACATGTATTCCCATGATGGAAACATGAAAACTATAGAATCGTAGATAGCACCTATCCGGAAAGGATCTTTTGAGATATACAGATATTTAAGCAAATCCCCTTGGGCGGTTTTCCAGTACCTATGCATTTAAAGTTAGTTTACCTATTTACTTAGTTGTGGAGGCACCCACACAGCACCT